GCGATTCTGCTTCGGGACGGAAGCGCGCGCGCGCGAGAACGGCCTAGGCGCCGCCACATCCGCCGATCCGCGAGACCGAGACCGCGAGGTCGTGCGCGACGCAAGCGTCCAAACGGGACGCGGAATCCGTGCTTTTGCCGCGGCCTCGCTCGCCCACCGCCACTCCATGCGTCGGGTGGTGGTCAGCGCGCGTCTCATCCGCGCGGCGAAGCGACTCGACTCCCCGTTTTTTTTTCCCCTGTTCGCTTTTGGTGTTTCTGCGATTTTGTCCATATACGAGACGAGCGGATGAGGCGGCCGGCCGCCCGGGTGGTGATCGCGTTCACGTTCACGGCTCGGGGGTGGTCGGGGGCTGTGCGTGCAGCGTGGAATACGTGGCGGGCAGCGTGCTGCGTACGTGAGCCAAGGGAATCGAGTGCGATGCCGGTTGCTACTCACGTCGTTTTGCTTGCTCGGATAAGATTCTCAAAAGCTCAGACGTCGTCGATGGCCGGCCTCTCCAGGACGAAGAATATTCGTGGCACTCTCTCGTCCGCCCACACGTAAATACAACACCGACTAGACTTCAACATTTCTTTTTTGAAGTAATAAAGATACTCTCTATCTTAAAACAAAACAAATCAACTTCTATATATCTAGATTTGAACAAAAAGTATGTTTGTTTTTGACGGAGGAAGTACTCTTTGTATATCACGACAGAAGAAATCATCCAATTTCCAATATGGTGGCGGACGGAAATGGCCGCCCAGTCGCCGGATTGGTTCCTCTACGCAACGTACGTTTCGAAAAGGACAAAAGGCTGAATAAAATGTTGGGCTTGGGCCACAACGGTGACAGCCTGATAGTACCCAGCTATATTGGCCCGCCTTATGCTGTCAGTAGCGGCCCAGAATTTTCCATGGACTGGTCGTTTGGGGCCGTTATTTATTTACCTCCCGAACGAAGCAACGCAAGATCCCGCGGCCGAAAGCCGAAAAACTCGATAGTGACGAGCGTTTACATCAGAGCTTCTTCTCGCTCGGACTTGCGTGCGCCCGCCTTGTTCATTGGGGGCGGATCGACCTTGAAAGCTAAGGTTAAAAAACCAGTAGAATAGTTCCACGGATTTAAGTAATCCATCACACACTGTTTGCTTGGTAAGCACGAACTCATCCGTAGAAGAGATGGCAAAAATTGTGGGTAACTCATATCCACGTCCTACCCGCGCCCGCCGTATTGGTACGTTACGTTGTGACAACAACCGGGCTTTGGCAGTTGTCAGTTGGCACTTGTGGTTGGACAACACAACAGAATCAACCAAGAGTCCGAGACATTTGGCGATCGCACCGCACGGCGGCCAAAAATCAGAAGAACACCGAAAAGCGCCGGCGGGAAAACGGAAGCCAACCCTTGCCCTACCCACGAGGCCACGACGTTGCGTTGCTCATATGGACATGGCCTCCATGCCCCCACCGGGGTCGGTGTCTGTCGAGCGCAGGGCGACGCGGCGGATCCCACATTCCCCGGGCAGAAAGAGGCCAAAACCTGAAACCAACACGCACAGGGGGCACGCGCGCGCGCGCGGGCGCGAATCGTGCGTTTCGGCTTGGGAAAGGGAGGCAGCCAAAGGCCCGCGCCGCGCCTCCTGCTTGATTGGCGGTTCGGCGCGCTGGCCCGGCAGCCGAGCGCGCGGTCAAGACGAGTGGCGCGTGGCGGGACCGCGGGACCTACTGAGCAGACGGTCGCAGCTGGGAGCCTGGGACCCTATCGTAAAATGATCCCCACATATATATATATATATATATATATATATATATATATATATATATATATAGGACACTCATATGGGGCACCATGGTGCCCGGGCACCATGGTATCTAATGCACAAAATCACTCAAATTTTTCAAAATTTTCAAATTGTGAGTATATACCTAGTTATAATAATTTGATTCATACCTATACTTATCAACAAAACAACTCAAATTTAACTTTATTTCACAATCCATGATTACATACCTAACTAATTATATGTATGGATGCTATATACCTAGAATCAAAATCTAACAAAAACAAGTTCAAATTCAGTTCAAACTTGCTTTAAACTAGTTAGTAAAGTAGTTAATGTTAATACCTAAGTAATTGAAAAAGTTTCATACTCATTTGAATTGGGTATATACTCAATTTCAACAATGGTGCCCGGGCACCATGGAGCACCAAACAAATTTACTATATATATATATGTATGTATATATATATGTATGTATGTATATGTATGTATGTATATATGTATGTATATATATATATATATATATATAGGACACTCATATGGGGCACCATGGTTTCAAATGCACAAAATTACTCAAATTTTTTAAAAATTTTAAATTGTGAGTATATACCTAGTTATAATAATTCGATTCATACATATATCTATCAACAAAACAACTCAAATTTAACTTTATTAGGGTATATGAAAACCTGAGTATACGTATACGATGTAGTATATATGGAAATGTTATCCCGCGGTTATTTTGAAAATAATTATATATGGAAACCGAGATATTATAATACACCATGAACGTTGCAGTTGGAATATAAGTATATATGGAATCATATATATGGTATGCTTATGTACACCTAGCTAAATTAGTGCGTTTTGCACTTTCAAAATTCAGAAAATGTTTACTCATTTATGTAATAATGTAATGGCTATGTATACACGCATTATATTTTCTATATACTTAGCTAACTTGTACAAAGTTACGTTAATTTAATTATATTAGGAATCTAAGTGTATCTAAATTTACAATTTGTGTACACGGTATATTTTATTATTGTCATTTAATATTGTTGTATATAGTAAATTTGGAATCTAATTAAATTTGGAACCAAGGATATTTTAGTCGTTATGTCCGGATGTAAAACTTAAGTATATCGAAATTTTAAATCTGTGTACTGTATATTATTAGAATTTAAAACTCGCTTTACTTGGACTGACGGTATATTTAACTTAATATAAATTAATCCAAGTATATGTTTTCTATACCATGGATTTTAAGTATATGTGCGTGCATAAGTTGTGTAGTTCTGACCTCGTGCCAAATAATATGTGCCAACTGCAGCGTGGGTGATCATACTTCTGCAGCGACTGATTGATCTTCTCGCTCCGGGCACCATTCATCTTGTCCATAGCTACTGGCAATATTAATATAAATTTCAGAATACTATGAAGATGTCAACATATATGAGAAGTACATATAAGTACAGATAAGTTGGAGCACATACCTGGAACACGAATGTGTTGTTGGCGAGAACCAGAGAGAGCACCAGAAGTGAGATGATCATGTACAAGGGACATCGCTGCTGTTTCACTACCTAGCTAAATTCTGTTCATTGGATGTGCAAACCAAGATATTCAAACACACGCGTTATATACCTAAGACAATCTAAATTGAACTGCATTTCAACAAAAAATCTAAAATTTAGGTTCCAGGTGATTCATCATGTGCTCAGTTAGTAGATAAAAGAAAGAGAAATGGCAAATCATCTATACATAACAGGGACTGCATGTGAATGTAAACTGTGTGAGTGATAAAAACTGAGGACCATACCTTTCACGTAATGTAGCTCGCTGGTGAATAATGCATGTTCCGAATCTCACGAACAACCAGCGACGGCAGTGAAAAGGCACATGGACGTCCGGCGCTGTAATGGCTTGACAAAAATGGTTGAGGAGGTCTGGTTTCCAGCAAGAGGATCGTGACGAACGTCGTCAGTGACGAAAACCACGGACGTCGGCCCTCTTCACGGCGGGGCGAGCAATCCCGGCGAGGTAACTCAGTGAAGACGAGGTGGATAGCTAGCTCTTCGACCGTGAAACAGTGTGGCCAAGAAAAATAAAAAAAAGGACTACTGTAGCCGGTTATATGTGTATCTTGAAAATGGAATATAACCTTGAAAATAGATGGCAATAATCGCAATTAGTGGAATGGCGTCAATTTTCAAAAACAGAATCATGTTTCAATAGGTAAGTATCTGCATGCAAACGTTGTATTTATGGAAATGTGATATAGAAAATGGAAAGTGCTAATCAAAATGTGTAGGCGTGATTAGAGGGCGCAAATTTGGAAATACATGCACGGTATACAGCAAAAATGGAAATACCCGCATGCATGTTCTAAGGAAAGTATATGCATGCAACTCTTATCGGGTAAGACCCGCTTATATGTGATAGTATCCTCTATTAGCGTTGCACGGATCCTAAAGCATTTGGACGGTGGATGGCCATGGAGCCCGGGCACCATGGTGCCCCTAACAAATTTAATATATATATATATATAAAACCCATATAAATAGATTATAACTATAATAATTCCCACAGTATATATAGATACAATGTAGTATTAGAAGACGAGAGAAATAAAGATATATACTATTATCTATTTTATATGGGTAATTCATATGTACCCCTCAGTTCTAAAAATAACCCAATCCTACCTATAAATTTGGACATATGCGTGTCCAGATTCGTAGTTAGAGTTTATATTTTTCATAGAGTAGTATATGTGTATCTTTTGTTATTTTTTATAGACTAGTTACATAGTGGTAATAGGTAGCTGAACTATTTTTTTTATCATATTGTGGATGCTTTTATGAGATAACATTTAAATTTTTAAAACTTAATTTTAAAGTGATTAAGTTTTTATCGTTAATGATACATATTGAAAGGGTTTGAGGGTGAAGCCACACATTTGGTGGCGTATCTCATTCATATATATATAGCAGGAGAGTATAGCCTCATAACAACCGAACGAGAGACTCGGTACGGTACGTATGACTAGAAACAAGTAGTTTAGGTTGATTGGGCTGCTATCTATCCATGCAAACAGACTACTATGCTATACAAGATGTACAGTACGCTAACACACCCCCGCAGACTCAGCCGGGAGTTCACGGACGTTGAGGCTGGACCTGAAGTCGAGGAAGAGCGACGACGGCAGTCCTTTGGTGAAGACGTCGACGAACTAGGCGGACGACGGGACATGAAGAACTCGAACTTGGCCGAGAGCAACGCGCTCACGGACAAAGTGCAGATCAAGTTTAATGTGTTTTGTTTGTTGGTGCTGCACAGGATTAGCTGACATGTAGACGGCAGAGATGCTGTCGCAGAAGACGACCGTAGCTCGGTGAAGCGGTTGATGAAGCTCGCGGAGGAGTTGTCGAATCCAGGTTGTTTCGGCGACCGCGTTAGCGACGGCGCGGTACTCAGCTTCGGCACTTGATCGCGAGACGGTAGGCTGGCGCTTGGCAGACCAAGACAGCAAATTGGAGCCGAGGAAGACGCAGAAGCCCGACATCGATCGGCGAGTGTCAGGGCACCCAGCCCAGTCGGCATCCGAGTAAGCGGTGAGCTCGTGTGGCGACGAAGCCGACAGAAGTATGCCGTGACAAAGTGTACCTTCGATATAGCGAAGAACTCGCTTCACCAGGTTCAAGTGACCTTCACGTGGATCATGCATGTGTAGACATATTTGTTGTACTGCATATGCTATGTCTGGCCTTGTGAATGTCAGATATTGGAGAGCTCCGGCCATGCTGCGATATGCTGTCGGGTCTGCAACGGCAGCGCCGACGGCGGAAGACAACTTGGACGAAGTGTCGACCGGAGTTGAGCATGGCTTGCACGACGTCATGCCGGCGCGATCAAGGAGATCGGTGGCATATTTCTCCTGATGCAGGAGCATTGTATAACCACTGCGGTGGACTTGGACGCCGAGGAAGTGGTGTAGAGGGCCCATGTCCTTCATTGAAAATTCCGAGCTGAGGGCTGTGATGATGCGTTGCAGCAAAGAGGCGCTTGATGCTGTCAATATTATGTCATCAACGTACAGTAGAAGGTACGCAGTACCGAGAGAGCTCCGAAAGATGAACAGTGAAGAATCCGATTTTGCCGCCGTGAAGCCAAGTCCAAGAACAAACGCTTTGAAGCGCTCGAACCAGGCCCGGGGAGCCTGTTTGAGGCCGTAGAGAGAACGATTCAGGCAACATACGACGTCGGGGTGCTTGGCGTCGACGAAGCCGGTAGGTTGGCGACAGTAGACCGTTTCTGAGAGATGGCCATGGAGAAAGGCATTTTTAACGTCCAGTTGGTGTATTGGCCATTTGGATGTAAGGGCTAGAGAGAGGACGGCCCGAATAGTGGCAGGTTTGATGACGGGGCTAAAAGTTTCTCCAAAATCAACACCGGCCTTTTGGGAGAAACCACGAAGAACTCATCGTGCTTTGTAGCGTTCAAGGAAACCATCAGGATGGAATTTGTGTTTGAAAACCCATTTCCCAGTGATTATATTCCCTCGGGGTGGTGGAGAGACAAGTTCCTAGGTATTGTTGGAGGTGAGAGCCTGAAATTCCTCAACCATGGCTGCATACCAATTGGGATCATTCAACATTGAACGAACAGACTTGGGAATAAGAGACAAAGCAGTGACCGAAGTGTGGAGGTTGAGCCGCTCGCGCGGGCTGCGGTGAATGCCAGAGTGAGACCGGGTTTGCATGCGAGGTGCTGCGGCAGCTGTAGGAGTAGATGGTGCAGCAGTGGTGTTGGGTGCGATCAGCGCAGATGGTGCAGCGGTAGGGGTGAAAACAGTACGGAATTTTTCCGGATTCCGGTCATGTTTTCGGAAACGGAATCGGCCGGTCGGAATTTTTTCGGAATTTCTCGGAATCGGAATCGAAAACGGAAATATTTTCTCGGAAACGGAATCGAATATGATAAAAGCAGTTTCCGTCGGAACCCGGAAACGATCGGAAACATTCCGGAAAAATTGTCGGAATTTCCGAAGTTAAAAATCCCATAGATTCAATAGTCCATAATTCTCCCTAGCTTCCCAGCCCAACCCAAATCGCGGCGGCATCTACCCTAACCGGCTAACCCTATAGGAGAGAGACCGTCAGACTCAGAACTCAGACGCGACTCGCGAGTTGGAGGCGGAGCGGCGGCTGCGGCGTCCAGATCGCGGCATCGCGGCGCCGGCGTGCCCTCACGCCCACCGCCCGTGGCGCCGGCGCCCCACCGCCCACTGCTGGTCGCCTGGCCGGCTGGCCCCCGCCGTCCTCGCCCCCACCATCTCGCGCCGCCCTTGCTCTTCGTCGTTTCGCCGCCGGCCGCCGCCACCATCTCGCACCTCCGCCGGTCTGCTCGGTCCCCGCCATCTCAAGGCGCCGTCCCACCGCGTCTCGCCGTTTCACCGTCGCCACCACCGCCGCCGACGACGGAACAACCACCACACCGACGAGGCGACGACGACACCACCACTGCAGTCTCTTCCTCACCGCCACCAACGCCGACGGCTCCTCGCCTCGCAGCAGCCAGCAGCCCAGCGGCAGCATCTGAGCAACCAGCAGCAGCAGGTGTATATAGTGATTGACTTTGCACTTTTACTAATGCTCTATCATTTTTTTTGAAGGCTAATGGAACGGAACAAGAGACAGAGACAGTAGAAGCGGAATGTTCTAATGAGGATGGCATTGCGCCAATGGATGTTTGAAGAAAATGTTGGTCAATTTAATTTTCAAGTTACATCTAATTTCAAGTTTCCATTTCAAATTAGTGTACTCCTGCTGCACAAGTGGATGAGATATGTTTGAACCATGTACTGATGTGTTTTGTGATTGAACTATGTTTTGTGATGAACTATGTATTTATAGGGTGATGTGTTTTGTGATTGAACTATGTACTGAAACACTGATGGACTGATGTGCGTTGCTGTTCTGTGATGATTGATGAACTATTGCTGTTCTGTGATGATTGATGAACTAAGTGTTGATGGACTGATGTTCTGTTGTTGTTCTCAAACCCATTTCCTGGAGTGATAGGCTGATAGCAGTATAGCACCTGAATTGTGTATACCTTATAGGCTTATACCATTTTGTTTTGCTGTATTCTTTTAGAATATTTGTTATGCAAATTATTTGAAGTTATAGAAGAATATATTTTGCTGTGAGGCTCAGTTTGAGGGGTTTATGTATTCCGATAAATTTTCGTTACCGTATCCGCGCCGGTTCGTTTTTGCTCCGTTTTCGGTTTCGATAATATTCGTTTCCGTTTTCGTTTCCGGGGTTTCCGATTTCGATTCCGATTCCGAAAAAAAAAATGAAAACGAAAACGATAAAGGTTGTTTCCGTCCGTTTCCGTACCGTTTTCACCCCTATGCAGCGGTGGTGTTGGGTGCGATCGGCGCGGTCGGCAGCATGGCAGTGGCTGCTGCTGGCTGGGTTGCAACTGGCGGTGCAGGTACTGCTAGGATATCAAGAAAGTCATATGTTTCATCAGGCGAGGCAGTGGTGGTAGCTGCAAAAGGGAACATGTTTTCGTCAAAGACGACATGCCGAGAGATGATGACGCGGCGAGAGGCGAGATCCATGCAGCGGTAACCACGGTGGTTGGGCGGGTAGCCAAGGAAGACGCAAGCCGTCGAACGGGGAGAAAGTTTATGTTCAGAACGTGTGTAGCTGTGGTGAGTGCCTCAACCCAAAAGCTTGGTGGTAGATGTGCTTGGAACAGCAGGGAACGGACGACCTCATTGGTGGTGCGTATCATCCGTTCAGCCTTGCCGTTTTGCTGCGATGTGTAGGGGCAGGAAAACCGAAGTTGGATGCCGTGAGTAGCAGCAAATTGGTGCATGGATGAGTTATCAAATTCCCTACCATTGTCACACTGAATGGCACGCAGGACAGTGGAGAACTGGGTGCGTACAAGAGAGTGGAAATTGGACAGAATCTGAAAAACTTCGGATTTTAAACGCAAGGGGAACGTCCATAGGTGATGAGTAAAATCAACTAAAAGTAGAAGATAATATTTGAACCCAGAAACACTGGAAACTGGCGAGGTCCAGACATCACAATGAATTATTTCAAAAGCAACAGTGGTCTTTGAAGAAGACAACGAAAATGAGAGGCGAACTTGTCGCCCTAATTGACAAGCATGGCAAAGCATGCTATCTTTATTTGAGCTAGACGAAATAATGGAGTGGCCAGCTAGGTGATGTTGTGTGTGATGTCCGGGATGTCCGAGGTGACGGTGCCAGAGATGAGGTTCTTGATGATGTGAGGTGTGACCAAGATATTGTGGAGGTGGAAAGGCTGGGAGAGGGTGGATATTTTATGGGAACCAGTGGCAGTAACAGGAAGAGAAGCACCATTACCAACAACAATTCATGTGTGTGGAGGGGGCTTGTCAGAGATGGATATATTACCAGAGCCGGATGACATATGCGCGGTGGCGCTGGTGTCCATGTACCACTGGTCGGACGGCTGCTGCAGCGTCATGGCATTGAGGGAGTTGGCGATGCTGTTGGCGTCCCATGTCGGAGTAGACGGAGTGCCGGCGTGCACTGGGGCAGCGAAGTCCATCGGCGCCGGCGGCGGGTGCTGCATGGCATGCATGGGCAGACCTGTTGGTGGTTGGAGGCCGAACGGCATGGGCTGCATGCCCTGGTGTGTTCATGTAGGACTGGGGTGCAGCAGGCCGTGGGACAGCGCCAGGACGTGGCCCAAGAAGACCTGCGGTGGGCCAGAGTTGAATCTAGCTGGTCCACGGGTTCCAGTGCGGCTGGACTGGGAGGGGCGACGGGCTGGAGTTGGTGTTGGAGCCCTTGTTGCCGCCCTGCTTGCCTTTGCCCTTGCCTTTCTTGCCGCCATTGCCGTTGCCACGAGAGCCACCCCCGTTGTCGATGGCCGGTGTTGGCGTAGAGCGGGAGTCAGCGACGAGCGCGGTGGCCTTAGCTGCCGGATCACCGGCGTCGTCGTTCATCTCGTCGAGGAGAAGGAGTGACCGCGCCTGGATGAAGGAGGGGAACGGCGACATCATGGGAAGAAGAGCCGACAGGTGCTTGTGCTTGGGATTCATGCCCTTGATCATCGTGAGAACGAGAGTTTGGTCAGGCACTGGTTGGCTGACATCCCGAAGGGAGTCGGACAAGGTCTTCAGCTTGTGGCAGAACTCGGTGGCGGAGAGATCGCCTTGCACCAGGTTGGAGAATTCGGCCTGTAGATGGATCGCCCGTGTGGTCTTGTTGTCGCGGAAGAGGTTCTCGATGGATTGCCACATGGAAGCGGCGGTGCCGCCGGGGGTCATGACGATGCTGAGTATCTCCTGGGAGATGGAGCCGTAGATCCAGGAGAGGATAGTGTAGTCCATCCGTCGCTAGTCGGCGTCGACGGGTGGCGCGGAGGGGCTTGCCGGAGAGAGGTGGTGAGACAGCTAGAACTTGCCGACGGCAACCTCGAACAGAGTACACTAGTGGGTGTAGTTGGACTTGGAGAGGTCGAGGACGACCGGGACAAGAGACTTGATGTGGACGGCGACGGCTTGGGACCAAAGCTGGGCACGGGCTGTCTTGGCTGCAGCGGCTGCTTCAGCAGCGGCGGTGGCCGCGGCCGCGGCCGCTGCAGTGGCGGCGTCGTCTTGAGCCATCAGGAAGGGTTGGAGTGGTAGAGTTGCGGAAGTGGGAGATGTGGATCGTGAGATCAATCTAATACCATGAAAGGGTTTGAGGGTGAAGCCACACATTTGATGGCGTATCTCATTCATATATATAGCAGGAGAGTACAGCCTCATAACAACCAGAACGAGAGACTCGGTACAGTACGTATGACTAGGTACAAGTAGTTTAGGTTGATCGGGCTACTATCTATCCATGCAAAGCTATCCATGCAAACAAACTACTATGCCAGCTATACAATACGCTAACACATATATAAAAGTTTTACTTGTATTTATTTATACTACTAATAAGCAGTAGTATATCAATAAGCAAATCGGAGCCTGCGGCTGGGAGGGCACATGTATTGTGTGCTCTCGTGCCAGGTTAACCTTGGGTCATTCGGTGCGTGAGGAAATCAGCAGTCTGGCAGTTTTTAGCGTCTTGCTATGTCCACCTCACGTACAGACAACACGATGTTTCACCGTGCCTGATGCCTTCGTTCCGAAGCCCTAGACTTCAAGTTGAGCACGACACTTCATGCCGTGATGCCGGTGTGTGTAACATCAGTGTGTTCAAAGCGATGCCAAAGAAAGTCTTCTGAAAAAAAAAAGACTTTCTTCAAAATAAACAAAAGAAATGAAAACAATAATTTAGTCGGGGAAAGAACGAATATTTTTTCCGTGTTTGAAAAACGAAAGAATAAATAGCCTCTCTTCTAAAATTTTTTCTAAAATCCTCCGTCGCGTCCTCCTGCTACGGACACTTTCTTCCATTTCTTCTTCCCTCTCCTCCGCGGCCCCGCTCCGCTCCGGCCACCTCGCCGCCGGTCAAAGCGCGCCTCGTCGGAGCCCAAATCGGAGCGCGACCCTAACGGAGGCTTCGCTTCAGATGCGCCGCCACCGCCGGCCACGCGCCGCCGCAGCACGCCGCAGATGAGCCCCGACGCGACGGGCGAGGCCGGCGGCGGCGGAGGCGGAGGCGGGGACCTGTTCGCCGCCAACCTCAAGGGCTCGCTCCTCGCCGTCGCCTCCTCCGCCTTCATCGGGGTCAGCTTCATCGTCAAGAAGAAGGGGCTCCTCCGCGCCGGCGCCGCGGGCTCCCGAGCAGGTGCTATTGCTAGGTCTTTTTCTGGTTGCTGGATGCTAATTCGAACCTACATGCTGTGGGTTGCATGAAAGGAAGCTAAGCTACTTTTGTGTCCAAAATCCGGGTCGATTTCATGTCGCACGCGTCGTGACCTTCGTTTGTCTTGTTGGAAATTTCAGGTGTTGGAGGATATGGGTACCTCTTGGAGCCGCTCTGGTGGGTCGGGATGGTCACTAGTAAGTGAAATTTCATGGTTATCTTGGACTTGTTTCTTGATATTCATGTGGGAATAGGTTTGAATATTTTGGTAAAATTGAAATCTTATCAGTGCTTGTTGGGGAGATTGCCAACTTCATTGCTTACATGTTTGCACCTGCTGTCCTCGTCACGCCGCTAGGAGCACTCAGCATAATTGTGAGGTAGAATACTAGAATTGAAATTGTTTTAGTTGGTGTCCACATCATTTGTAATTCATTGTTTCTTTGTGTGGATTTGTACTGAATTACTGGTATGTGCATGTGTATGCTTCTGGTGATTTGTTGGGGAGTAGTGCTGTTCTGGCACATTTTACACTGAATGAGAAGTTACAGCGGGTGGGCGTGCTGGGATGTGTTCTTTGTATTGTTGGGTCGACGGTGATCATCCTCCATGCTCCCCAAGAGAGGACCCCAAGCTCAGTGGATGAGATTTGGCACTTGGCGATACAACCTGGTAAGTTTCCATACTTTCTCCGTTAGCTACATGGCATTGGAATTGACTTATGTTTCACAAATGTCCTGTAATATTGGTGCAGACTTCCTTTGCTATGCTACCGCTGCAGTAGCAGTATCTCTGTTCCTGATGATATATTGTGCTCCACGGTATGGGCAGATGAACATAATGGTGTATGTTGGAATTTGCTCAGTGATTGGATCATTGACGGTAAATGTTTTATATGAGTTTGTGCTTATGTTATCTTGTCGTTTTGTCACTAATATGACTTTTGCACGCTATGTTGTTTTGTCAGGTAATGAGCATTAAGGCTGTGGGCATTGCCATTAAGCTTACAATTGAGGGCATAAACCAGGCTGGCTACTTTCAGACGTGGCTGTTTGCAGTGATTTCAATTACATGCATAGCTGTCCAGTTAGTTTACCTGAACAAGGTACGCTCTATTCTTGATCAGTATGCACGATAAGAAGTTGTTGACCTGCTAGTCCAATGCAACACCTCCTTAACACAATAGAGACGAGGTTCACAGAGAAAATGTATGTTATTGTCCATAATCCGAATATACTAGATCTGTTGTGGCATCACTTGACTACTTGAGTGCTCCCTCGGCTGCTATCAGTAAATATTTCAAGACATTTGTTGTGAATTTCTCCCTTTTATGTATTCCCCCAAAGATTCCGGAGGTTACACATGATTAGCAGCTAAGTCAATTTTGGTGTTGTTGTGTGCCCTTTGAAATTTGCAGGCGCTGGATACTTTCAATGCAGCAGTTGTTTCACCCATCTATTATGCCATGTTCACAACCCTCACTATTTTAGCAAGTGCGATAATGTTCAAGGTGAGAATCTTTTTTAGAACATATATACACACTATGCTCCATTCCGTGTTGAACTGTTGATTGGTCGGCTAAGGGTAACTTCTGTTCTATTTTTACTCAGGACTGGTCTGGGCAGAGTGCAAGCAAAATTGCATCCGAGATTTGCGGATTTCTGACAGTTCTTGCTGGTACTCTTGTGCTACACTCTACTAGAGAACCTGATCAAACTCTTTCGGCAGGTAGATCATTGTGAAGTTGGGTACAGTATTAGTGTCACAAATATCGTCTTCGAAAGTACTAACTGTTTCTATCTGTGCATCACTGCAGACCTGTATGCACCTCTTCCTCCAAAGATATACTGGCACATCCAAGGAAACGGGGATATAGGTAAACAAAAAGAGGACGACTCACTTCCCTGTGACATTATAACTGTCATGCGTCAAGACTACTTTGTCTAGAGATCTTCCAAGATGCTTGGCGTTTCATGCACATCTATTTGTCTGAGCGGAGATTGGTACAGTCACTAAGTCTGTCATTCATAATCCCCTCAAGAGTCAAGACCATCTTGCTACCAAGATCAAAGCAACTGCAAAATTTTGTAGACATGTTGTTACTGGATTGTGTATCATTTGTCGAATACTCATGACAAAGCTAAATGGCCATACGGTGACTTCTGAGCGAACAAACTTAGCCCCCTAGCCTGACAACTATGTGAAGATATTGTACAAAAATTGCCAGGAATGCAGTTCTTTTTTTAACCCTTTCATTTGAACTGAAGGCAAGTATACAAGGCTTGCTAATCGCTATCATTGACGTGGCACTTTGTTCCCCTTTGTAGGGTCCGGAATGTAACTTGATGTACCTGAGGTTGTCTTGTATAGTCCATTGTGTGACTCTCTCTCTCTCTCTCTCTCTCTCTCTCTCTCTCTCTCTCTCAGGCCATGGCATTGAAACAAGTTGTATTCTCTCCTTTGTAGCACTAACCTCTTTCAAATTCTTGCTTCAGTGTTTAAAAGCATCTAGTAGCAAGCTTTGTTCAGCGATAGCCAGCATACTCCATTGCGTGCTCTCTCTTCCGTGTGATGTTTATAACTTTTGCAGCATCATGATGGCAAACTTTTTTTTATGCTTGTCGGGCTCTATGGGAACATGGTGTGGTACATTCTGAAGAAAACGAGCATTTCATTTCAAAGGCAGCAGTACAACTCCACGTTGTAAAGTTACAATGCAAGCCGATGGTATTTGTAAGTTACAACACATTCCACAACTATTACTACAATTGCAAATTTACAATCAGCATGTAAGTCATCCCAGAGATTTTAAAAAATAAATAACAAATGGATAAAAACATAAAAGACAGCATAAGTTACAAGCTCAAAGATGCTGATGACGATGTAATCAACATGTACAACACTCGTTTGTAGAGCAATCTGATGTCTATGTTTGTACAACAGAGATGTGTTAGGAGACCCAAATCTTGTGCAACGCGTGCAGCTGGCCCAGAGAGGTTGATTTGAGCGACAGACGATACATCTCTTTTAGTTTGGCGGTGTCTCCTCTGCTGTTGCTGGCGTTGGCCTGGCCGACAGAAGCTGCCGGTCGAGCAGCTGCCAACATGCTCTTCAGCAGGCGCTGCAGCTGGCTCCAGAATTTCGGTTTTATGTCCAGATCCAAGTCGTTTGAATACTCATCATTTGCTTCAACCACATGGCGACCGTCCAGCAAGTGCACCAATGCATTTTCAAGCATCTGAAGAAGAGACCCAAAATGTTTATGAAAGCGAAAACAGAACATTTGCATCTTTTGGTATGCCCGAAGAAGGCATTCTATACTGGGGAACAACAACACGGTAGCAGCAAAGGCACAGAGGCTAACTCAGAACTCAAGCTACACTTCCTAACTATTGGTTATTATATGATTAGTCTGTGTTAGTAGCCATAGTGCATTGACATATTGCAATTTGTGCAACAGTATAAATGCTTCCTTTTCCACCTACTTGTCACTTGTCAGAAACTACTCAGCAGAACTACTCTGCCATGACAGCCACGACACATTATGACACTAATCATAGTAGTACAATTTACTAAAATTATGCTAAGCAGACAGCGCTGCTCTGTTCTAACCAAATGTAACAGGTTATGCACTCCCATGATGCTAGAAAGAATAATAATGGAAATAAAATCTAGCACAAAGAGCAGATGGGATCGTTCGAGATGGCAAGGAACATACCACACTTGAGTGGAACGAATCAGAGAGGTTAACGGAAAGGGCAGATTGTGCCATAAGGATGTTTAAGAACATGGTAGAATGTGTCTTTGGACCATAAAATTCTAAAGCTCTCTGCCAGTTCTTTTCTGCTAAAGAACCATACCACTTAGCTTTCTGACGATATTTATCCTCATTCTTCTGTTTGACCTCCTTGTCAATTAAATCGAGGAACCTTAAGCATAGATCCCTCTGATAACAAGCAAGCTGAAAGTGGCCAAAAGCGGCTTCCTGCTTGCGATGTTCACCAAGAGATTCATATGTAGACAAAGCCTCTCTGAAAGCATCACTTGCTGAAATCTCAAGAACTGTTCTATTAGATGATTCATCAACAAATCCACCTTCATAACTGTCAGTTAAGAAGCTTTCCCTTGCCAAAAGCATTCCAAGCCTCAGGTGTGTATGGGCATACTGAGTGTAAACCTCATTGTAAAGTACTTTATCAACCTCATTGTCAGCATATGTTAGTTGCCTCTTAGCTGCTGTGTAATAGTTTATAGCTTGAAAATATTCCGACTTAGCAGACTTAAAGGATTGCATATATGCATCTTGAGGAAAATCATACTTCTGAAATTCATCTATCCTTGACACAAATTGCTCTGCTAAAGCTCTTCTACCATGACCTAAGTTACAGTTGATTAATATAACATTAGTGTGGTCAGCAACCTCTTGAAATGCTTTAATAGCATCAGCAAAAGCAATTTCAGCATTACCCAGATTTCTACTTTCAAGCCTATGGCAGCCCAGTTCATTGAATGCCCAGCCTCTTTTCTTAAGAATGGTGGATTTTTCAGCCAAGGGCACTGGAAATGCAAAAATGACTCCCTTGGCTGCATCGTAGCAATGAATAGCAGAATGCAAATTGTATTCAACATCTCCTGGTTCAGGTCCTCCAAGGAACTTAAAGATACCACCAACCCTCACACTGGAAACATCTTCTTTAGATTTATCAGGATCCCCATCATTATTTCTTGATTGATTTTCCATGGTGTAATTATTAGTATCAATTTCAACATTCGATACAGACCTTTTTTCAGAATCTCCCATAGAGTCCTGGGTGCTGGGATTCTCTTTAGTTTCTCTAGACTGTGAATGGAAGTTCCTGCCAGATGATTTTTTGTTTTTCTTTCTTCCATATAGTGTAGAGGCCTCAGAACTACTGCTGCTTGCACTGCTGCCACTATTTGCCCTATCACTTTGGCAGCTACAATTTATCAGTGAACATGTGCCACAATTCTGCTTATCCTTTCCCAGTTTTCTCTTAAGACGTTTGACCTCCATTGCAACTTCATTTGACATTCTAACTTCACCATCAGGCTTTTGTTCAGGCAACACTGGTGCTTGTTGACCTCTCAATCTGTGATATTCTGCATAGACATCCCCTACAAGCATCCACGCCTTAACCCAAAATAAATAGTTTGGAGGCAACTGCCCAGCAGAAACATCATAATTGAAACATTTAGCATTTTTGAAATAGTCTGCTTCATCCAAAACAAGATTTGCCTTTAGATCACCATCTTCAACACTCAACGAACTATTGGACATGGATGAGATGAATTGCTCACCCTCGAGATTTTTAGGCATAGACCCATAAACTAGACAAGCCAATTCCACAACTTTAAGAGTGCGACGAAGCTGCCCGTCATTCTTGTATGCCTCTCCTAGTGCCAGATAAGATTCACCTAGCAAAAGAACAAGTTTCCATAATTTGTGATCCATTTTCGATTTTGGTAGCCACTCTCTAATGTCGCAAACTTCAATACAGTCAATGTCACCACATCGGCATAAAGAGAAGTCAACAGGTTTCTCCCAAATGGTATCTGCATTGCCAACGCAATCATCTTGTGTATTCTGGAGCTGTCGGTTCCATCGAAGGGATTTGATAGCTTGTGATACATGGTGTATAGCTGCCAACTTGGAGGATATTGCATCAGCAATTGTCCTTGATACCTGAGTTCCAGACTGACACATTACCAAGCTATCCACAGTAACATCTCCTTTTGTAGCTGAAGATACAGGACTAATGTCAACATGACCCGGATCCACTAAACTATTTGACGCTTGAGAAGATCCTGACCGTGAACATTCCAACATTCCATCTAAGGTTGCTGGTTCCTCGCTAATCTCTGTCAGCACTTCATTTTGCTTCGATGGTAAATTCTCAAGGCTCAGGTCTGGAGACTCATCCAAGTCAGTAAGAGTAACTTCAGATTCAAGCAAAAATGATTCAGATGTCAATTCCAACTCCTCGTAACACCTAAGGATGAGCCTTGCAAACTGTTCATGAGCATACGCCCGGACAACCTAAAGGATCAAATAGAAAATCTTGAGAAGATTTCTAGCGCTACAAGAAAAACTGTAAACTGATAAATAATGACATGATAAATAAAAATACCAAGTGATCCTGTTCGCTGAGAAAGTCCAAACATTTTTTGAAGAACTTCGCACATTTTGCTCTATTACTAGGCACCTGCAAAGCATATACATACTAACGATCAGTAAAGCTCCATGAAGCAAAGAAAAGAGACATTTCGCTAGTACCTTTGATAAAGACATCCTGTGAGCAACACGGTACAAGAGTGTGCCCAAAGAGAACAACGACTCCTTTCTACCCTTCTTCATTAAAGAAGACATAGGACCACAAGTAGATCTATGATCACCAGCAGTATGATTTTGAGGTAAGATAGACAGATCATACAGCTGTATAACATCCTCTTCAGCACCCTTGTACAACTGAGAACACACAACTTCAGTATATAAATGAATAAAGCACAAGAACTAGCATAATAAAATTATTGCAAAAACTGAGGTCGGAGTTGTGTCTAAAATATACCCAAGTCGCACAAATAATATAATATAAGAAACTAAAGGTTAAGTACTAGCATGTGATAATTAGAACGAATAAACTTAGAAGCCATACCCAATATGCACCAGGGTCTTGCTTACAGTTATCTTGCAGGAACCTCAGGACAGCAAGGCCATTTTGCTGGACAACTTGTGGATGAAATGCAGGTGTACCATCATCAGATACACCCTTAAGTAGAAAAATATCATCATTTTTCAAGAGCTCATAACCTTGCACAACACCATTTTGATGATAACATATAGCCAATTCTGGCACACTTGCCATTATATTATCTAGCCAAGCTTCAAGCCAGTTCAGTGGAGTAACCTATGAAACACATTTGTCAACAGAAAGAGTAAAAAATGAAATTGTGAAGCCATATTCAATAGAATAAAACATACCTGTCTCGAAACATCCCAGAGGTGTAAGCTGACCGCCATATATTTCTCATTGCTAAATATAAGCAAGTCGCTACCCAAAAGCATATGGAAATTATGAAACTGCCAAAAGCAAACCTTCCGAAATCCATTGTTTCCCACCCTCCTACTTTTCTCGGATTCTTGCACGTCGCATCTGGGTTTGTCACCAACATGAGTGGTTTTCTTAACAGGGTCAGACCCTTTAACTTTCTGCTTATTTTCCCTTGCACCCCAGTACAGGCTTTCACGAGCACCATGTGATGTTTTTCTACTTTTACTGATATTCTGGTCCAGATAAGGTGAAGTGCTAAAACTAGATGACGATGGCGAATCCAATGGACCCTCCCTTTGGCCAAATGGTCCACGCAAGATAGCGGATGCCGTTTGCTTCTCCTTTGATGGTTGATGACTTGGTGGGCAATCACAAGCTTCTGCTCTCACTGAATGCATTGCAAAATTAAGAAACATTGAAGGATCAGATCCTTTGGGGTGGTTGCTTTGTCTCCTGAATATCTTTTCACCTTCATCAACATCAGGACTGCAACACGTACATTGCATTAGTATGAAGTACATAGAGCATGGTAGCTAGTTGCAACAATGAAACGGCCAATTTACCCTGTGTTTAGAATAAGTGTATCTCCAATACGGTTAACAGCAATAGATACTTGTGCCTTGGAGTATGGTATTTTGAAAATCTGCTTTAGGATATCAGTTGGAGCAACCACATCTATTTCATCACCATATTCAGCTAGGCCTGACACAGCCAGTGCTTCACACTTCCTTGATAAGTTTTGGTTGGCAAGTCCACTTCCATATCGTGATCCTGAATAATATGAACAAAAATAACAATTAGAAATACATTGGCATGCCCAGCAGATATAACCAACTGTGACTATTACATAGCTCAAACAGACTTATAGCCACATGTGGTCTTGCAGCTGCAACAACAGCTTGTGCATGTGTGACGATAGAATAGAAAACCAAGGTATCGCATTTCCATTATTTTAGCTTCCTCTGACTATCCATTTGTTAATACTAATGGATGCATCAGGAGATATGAAGTCTTCTATTGCAGCCGAAGAAAAAAATTTGGAATATAAATTTAGCTGGCCTTCTCATCTAGATTGCATAAATAAAGCTATTTAAAATACCAAATATAATCTACACATACAAGATGCAACCATGAAAACTTGGATACAGTAGGAATCCTGATAGTAAGAGTGGCATGTATGGTAAAATTTACTTGCACCTACAAGATGTAATATTATCTATGTTTTCCCTATGGTAGAAGCTCTTAAGAAGCCTGCCATTTCTTTTGTGAATCAAACTATAATGATCAAGCCTCAAGAAGAGATCACCTTCAGTACTCTTTGCGTCCATCGGGAAAACCTTTTCTGGAATATTTGGTATCATCGGGAGTGTGTTGAGATCAGTCTCCAATGGCAACATTTGATACCTTGGAGCTCCAGTTCTACATTATTTGTGACAAGAGAAAAATCAAAACATCACTTCTCCTTAATCAAGTATCAGCAAACTCGATAAATCCCATTTTATAACGACTATGTTCTCTTATACAGTAATATCTCAAAATGATAATAACTAAACATTTAAATAATACACATGCATTAGGAGGAAAAAAAAAGGCTAAGCAGCATTTTAATAACCATCAGCATTCGAGGTCCGGACAGAAATATCTATGTTCTGCTCGGCTATAAGTTGTAGCCACTGAATTCAGATACATAATAATGCCAATATTTGCTTACAGCAGCACAACTGCCTTGCCATTCGCTTCCCCCTAATCAATCCATCAACAATCTCTCATACCAATCAACAAATCGAACAAAGAGACTGAGTCCTTGTCTCCAAATCTCAGCTAAACCCCACTTCCTCTCCTTAGTCACCCCTAACGAATCACAATCACAAACAATTCTAATTCCACCACACAGAAGCGCTCGCTCCAATGGTATTCTAGCTCGAATTCCCCGCTCCCAACCGTTAAAATCCTAGCAAAATCCCAAACTCTTATAACCCTGCGACTCGATCAGGAACAGCTACACCAGAAACTCAACAAATCGCGAACGCATTGCTGAACAACTCGACGCATCACATCATCAATCGCGCGGGAACGCACTCCGAACCGAAGTTCAGGGAGAGAGAGAGAGAGAGAGAGAGAGAGAGAGAGAGAGAGAGAGAGAGAGAGAGAGAGCTCACGGGGACGAGGATGGGAGGAGGGCGGGGAGCGAGGCGGGGGAGTCGGTGGGGACGGGGAGGGAGCCCACCCGGAGGTAGCGCGCCGGCGGCGGCGCGGCGACCTCCAGCCTCCCCACGCACTGCAGCTCGCTCGACGCGTCCATCGCCGCCGTAGCCGTACCCCTCGCCGCCGCCGCCGCCGCCGCCGATCGCCGCGGTTTTTTCTCGGGCGTTTGGATGCTTTGGCTAATGGCCTAGCGGTTTGGTGGGCCCGCGAATTCCCTCGGAGTCAGTGGATGGTCGCTTCCTGTGGTTGCATCGCCATCGATCGGTCGGAGCCGGACGCGGACGGGACGGGATAAAAAAGACGAATCTGATTTTTTTTTTCTTAGGAAGTCTGATTTTTAGGGTGTATTTTATTTTCTATAAGAAAAGAAATAATTTTTGATCAATGCTTGTAGAATATTTTTTCGACAAACAGGGGCTCTTAAAATGAGCACACTCAACTCTATAAGCGCACATCCTATTATAATATGACTACTATTCGTTCAAAACAAAATTATAATATGACTATCTCTGGAAAATTAGACCGACATATCTTAAAATTAATGAAGTCATTACAACTTAAAAATTAGGCTGGCATATCTTGAGATTAATGAAGACAATAAATGTCTCGTTATTGATGGGTATATCGTCTATTATTGAAAGAAATACAAGCACACGTACCAAGTTTAGGACTTTAATCCCGGTGGACAGGTTTCACCGTAAAGAATTTAACCAGTTAAGTTACGCTTACTTCACAATTCTTTTATAATATTATGTTATCAAATACCAACAACAGTTATAAACTATGTAATATTACGTGGAAAACACTTTGGCATAAGAATTTATTTAATGATGTAGTTTTTCCGTAATTGATTTACTTGCACTTCGACTAAACATTAGTCAAAATTTACATAATTCGACATTTTTTTTAAAAAAAGGGAACCATTTGGTGTAATGCCGAAATCAACCGGATTAGTTCTAGATTTAATTAAATGCACAACTAATTAGTCCGAAATCAACCGGATTACCAACGAAGCTAATGTATGCACATTTAATTGAAGTACAGAAAGTAATTAAATGCACGGTGATGTAGTCATTTCTTCCCACAACTAATTAGTCCTAGATTTCCTAGAAGTGATGTCTTTGGGTGACGGAGGAGGTATTGGATCTGTGTGGAAAGCTTCTGGTCTAGTTTTTGTAGCTACAACTTTTCTCAAAACTAAAAGCTCTCTAAATAAATCTAGCTTTTCATTCAGATTCTAAAAAGTTAGTTATAAAACCTAGAAATTGAGTACATGTCAGAAAATTCTTATAAGTTGGCCATCAACCAACTGCTTACCCATTACGTGGGACAAAGAAAATATTAGGGTGGATGTGTTATCAGGTGTAGGATTGCGATGTGTTGTGCGTGTACATTTTCCATGTAATCATGAAAAAAATATTTTTAAGGATAGAGGTGTAATAGCATGCTTGATTTAAAGTTACAACATTTTTTTTGGTGTGTTTTGATACGTTTACTTGTGAAGTTACCAAACTTTGGTACATTATGTATGTCTAGAGCATGTTTAGTTTGTTGCATCATTAAATTTTGCAAGGTTAAAAATGTTAGCAAACTAAACATGCCTTAGTAGTTAATAAGCCCTAAAACACCAAATGCTGCGATGCTCGTCAATTGTTGCATTTGGGAAACACGTTGAGGCTTTTTGATATATCGATAACCCTTTCTCCTTTCCCCCCCTTCTTCAAAACTTGCATTTCTTGTACAAGAGCTAACAAACACAAAGAATTTCTTTTTACAATAGATCTCCCCCTTTCACTCGATCCTATCATACATAGCTAGCCATCAGAATATGATCATCTATCTCATCCCTTCCTGGTGATTCCCAAATGGCACCCAACGGCCAGTTCGTCTCGAGAACACAATGACACGCCTTTGGCTGCTTGCAGCCTTGCACATGCCAATTCCAGCAGACTTTTTGTTTCCTTCGGGCACCCAGTATTTTCAAGATCATATTTCGCAGCGCAACTTTCAGCTTTGGCACCAATTAATTCTAAGTCCTTACTGTACTTTTTAGATTATCGACTCTATCAATTAAGTCCATAGCTTTTGTCCTATCGATCTCAAAGTCGATGACAGGAAGCATCCTCCTGATTGATAGCAACTCTTTCATGTTGCCACTGCTTGGTGAGTGACTATTACTTTTGCTCAACCTGCTTTGCTTGCTATGTCTGGACTTAGTCTCGAACTCTTGGCTTTTGCTTATACCAGGGATGAATTTCCTGTACTTGACATCCCTTAGCATATCTTGATCTTCTTGGGTAAGAAGAGGTGATGAATTGCTGCTGGCTTTGTTTGGAGATAATGTGATTGTATGGCCCCTTTGTGTAGGCGATCGAACAGGAGATTTGATGGGAGACCGCTCGCCATTAGCGGATTTAGATCGACTAATAAGATGATGAAGCCATGCAACAAGCTCGAGGATATGTGTTTCGGTCTTTTCTTTGTCAGCATGGTACAGTGTCTCAATTCGGGTCAGGTCCATTTGTCCTGTTGGTTTGCAGTTCACTTCTGACCTGCATCAGATAATAAACATCATGCATCAAAACTCTTAGTTTTAGCCACTTTATATGTTGCAACTGGATGAAGTTGGATACCAACCCTGTATTTGCCCACTCTCCAACCCAACCAAAACCATGGTGAGCCCTGTATTATTTAAATTATCAGATTCAGGAACACACAAAACAAAGCTCATATATATGATTGAGTTCTATTAAGATAGCTTATAATACTTGGTGGTGTTATTTGCAATTGGGACAAGCCACCGCAAAGTCTTCTCCATTTCAGCCTTGATTTGAGCAGCAGTAACCTGCATCGATTTAGTACAAGATTAAATCAATTTCAGTTATATGTAATAGTCATAGCATGATGTTGACCTTAATAGAGCATATGTTGTGTGCTATTTTGCATACCTCTTCATTGACCACAAATGAATTCACCTTAGAACGCAAGGACGATTTTACAGTCGGTGGCAAACTTTGGTATAATGCATCTCTTGTGTTTGGAGGAATAGAACTAGATCGAGAAACCTGCCAATTAACGCCCTTATCAGACTACCAGAAAAGACTATCAAGTTGGATTGTTCGTAAGCAGCTAGATCAACACTGCACATGCGTGCGACATCAATTCAGGTCTTAAGTCCTGATACTTTCACAGAAGTGACATGAATACAATGCACGAGGGCTGTTAGCTGATAAAAAAACGACCAATAAGTTTCTCCACAGACAAAAAGAAACTAACAGGATGTCCAGTTGAGACTGAGCTTACAAGAGTATCGATCTGACTGATGATATTGGCGTAATGCAGTGCAAGGCCTGCTGGACCCAATCTATTACGTCGTTTGGTAGGTTCTTGTGATTCTTCATTGTCTATAAATTGAGAAAAAAATAGTTAATGATGAATTTATTCAACACGGTACAATAATATGTAGATCTTCCATTTTATTATATTTTCATTACCTAATTATAGAAAAGAGATTAAACAACGTCACACATATATACTAAATTGTCAATTGTCAGCCCCGTTGGCAGACAACACAACTGTAGCTAAAAGAGAAGTTGGATTTCCAATCAAGATATACCATGTCACTCACACTTCAGTGTATCAATGATGTCACATAGCATGTATATAAACTGCTAACCCATTGTGTATTCATGTGCATAAATTAGTTGGCTCACAATGAGACATTATTACTCTTAAAATATTTAAGATTGTGGTGGTGATGGTTGGTGACTTGGTTCTACTTTTACATCCCACCGCAGCGTGTGAGGCCTTTATCCTCACTTTGTTTCCTGATTTCTCACCCACCCAACTTATATGTATTATCAAAAACTCACATATACTCAGGAAAGTCACACAATGTGTCCTGATAAAAAACACAAACTCTGGTCGCAACACATCAGCACATAGCGATTAATAAGCAATTTCAATCACCAGCTTCTATCAAGTAAAAAATGGTAGACTAACATATGGGTTTTGTTCACATTGATTTATGGCCCATGTAATATTGATGATCAACAATGTTTCAGCAGGGTAAGATCTGTGCTTTCTTTCTCTGACAAATATACGAGGAATCAGGTAGGCATTTATGGTTCTGGACTGGGTTATATGAGAGAGGAATATAGCAAAAGTGATGACAACCAAGGCATTGCATTGTTGAAAACAGCTGCGTGAAGTAAATAGCTGATCAAATAATACAATACAGCCTAGGCGCCTAGCAAATTCCGATGACAGTTACTGAAAACCCAGACATGACTAAATGAGGTGACACTTGGGAGTACGATCTGAAGGACCTGATACTTATTGTAATATTAAAGGATGTATTATTGAATTAGGTAGCTCACACTTAATCTCAAGACTTAAATAAATAAGGAAATGGAAACAGACCATCAGCTCAATTTGTGTAAAAGGAAACAATTTCATGGAAAACTGTTAGCAGATCATATTGCTAAGGGAGGCATAGAAACAATAGATATGATGATAATTTTAATAGTAAATAGCAGTCATGAAGCCTAATACCTGAGCGCCCAAAGGCATTATGGATCTCCAAATGTAAGAAATGCACAATGTCTACGAGCTTTTCCATGACCTAGGAAAAATAAATGTTTTTTTTTCAAATTAGACGAACAGGATTGCACAAAACGAATTCTAGTTCAATTGGACAATCAATGAGTGGAACTTCACAATTGACAATGTGAGCATGCTTCCATATAGCTATATGTTGCTCATAGCAAGAACTATAATAAAACCAATGACCAACCTCTTCCAAATTCTTCGACCAGAGAGACTTTTTCTGCAAGCTTTTAACATGCTTGCGTTGGCTTTTCACTTCCTGCTTTAGTATGTTCAGGTTTTCACCTGTAAATGAAAATATAACATTAAGCATCTAATCAGATGAAGTAAACAAAATAGTGAAAAATGCTCTACTTGTGAATCAAGTGCTTTCAAAATCTAGTCAATGCTAAAAGTTAAGATAGCAGCGGTAAGGAGGAGGAGAAGTAGATTTGTGCTTCATTTTGAAACATAAAGATAAGTGAAATGGAAGTTGGAACTTCATAGGCTCATAGTCTAGGGGTTCTTCCTATTCACAGTTCATATTCTCCATTGGTGAACAGCTGCAGTGGACAGTCATAGTTTTAGAAGCAGTGGACTGTCAAAAGTACAACGTAGATGAATAACATAAGAAAGAAAACTAGACTTGCTATCATGCATTGAACTGTCTAAGCTAAGCGAAAGGGCATGTAGCCTAGTGGTTACAAGGCTCAAGTAGCAGCTCTAGGTCCTGGGTTTGACTCCCCACGGGAGCGAATTTCAGGCCTAGTTAAAAAAAGTCACTCGTTGGCCCCTCGTAAAAACATGTGTTAAGAATCGACCTATGGAGGGCAGGCCCTCGTGTAGGAGGCAGAGGCCTCAAAGCACGGGTTAAGGACCGATCCATAGGGGCGAGTCCGCGTGTGGGGGGCCAGGGTTTGTGGTTTTTCTTAGCCAGTTTGGTTGAAGCTTCTTCTTCTTAATGAAAAGGTGTGTGTGTGGGGGGGGGGGGGGGGCATTCCCCCAGTCAAGTTTTTTTTAACTGTCTAAGCTATAACAGCAATCTTGATGATGGAAATAGAATTTGATATTACATTCAATCTAGTGTTTCAGATGACCTGAAAAAGAACCAGAAGCAGCATCCACCTTTGAAGAAAACTGTTTTTCGGCCAACCGAGGAGTTTCACATACGGCTCTTACAGGTCATTCTTATATATTATCATGCAAACACACTAACCTCTTTGGTGTACACTTGAACCATCCTCTTCCTGCTGTTTGCGCTGATAATCTTGTTCAAATCTATCCAGTGCATGCATTTCATGGTATAGTTCCTGAAAAAAAAATTGAAATTTGTAATTTCAACAAGACATGCAAAAGAAGAAAACTGATAAATGCCAGCAGATTGATAGTAAGATGCAGTTAACAGTATATAATTCATAGTGACTAGCGGGTGAATATCAGTGTCATATATACTTCACTGCGCAAAACATTGAGACATAAGAAAAAATTGATTAGGAAATGCAGCAGGAAGAGTCTCAATAACTCTCTAGTCCATGATCAAAAAAATAACTCTCCAGTCCTCTTGTTAGAATAAGAAAAGATTCAGCCTTTGTCTCGCTATAGTATGGTAAATAAAAATTACAGACCTAGTGGATAAACAGCATTACAAGGCAATGTTGACAAGACAGATAATCATTACTTACAGCTGTGCACTGAACACAAGTCACCAATTGTTGCATCACTGATTCTGCCTCTTCTTTCAAGTGATGCTGAGGTGTCCGTTCTGATGCAAACCTGAAATATTTTGATGCAGCAAAGCACTAACTTAATACTCCCTATATCATTGCTTTATAAAACATAGGGGTGAAAAACGAATCAAACTTGTCAAAGTAGCGATCCAAGTTATGCCACTGAGGATCCTTGCAGCGGTTTCCAAAGCGAACAACTTCTGTAGAAAACACTTTCAACTCTTCCCTGTCAGAAATAACCAAAACTTCAATAGAAGAAAATAGTACATCTTTAAGCACAATACGATATTGTTGATATACCATCATGTATACATATTTCTAGCAAATGAATAGAATGTGCAGTCACATGTTTATAATTTGCAGAAGCAGTGAGATCAATGCTAACCTTTTGTCAGCAGCATATATCTTTAGTAATTCATCCATATCTTTCGATATAAGATTCTGAACACCTTCTGAATGAAGAACTACTTCTTTTAAATGCTTTATGCTCTCTTTTGAAAGAGCCCGCATCAAATTGCAACCTTTGACTATTGTATTGGCAACCTCAAATGCTAAAATAGATATTTTGTTGCCCTTTGTTGTAGTTCCTGATCCAAATCCACTATTTATATTCAAATTTGCCATGCTACTACCAAGTGTGTCTAGCACTTCCACTGCTTTCCCAAGCCCAACAGTACTAGCCCTCCCCAAAATTGAGCTTACTTCTGAAACCTGTTTCAACATGGCAAGCAAACATTAAAAATGACCTATGTTCTCACAGAAACAACATTCTGAAATATTGCAAACATCGATAAACACTGTGGAGCTGAAGAAATCGCTTCAGCCTTTAGCAACGATACAAAATCATACAGAACTAAAGATTTTACATCACTTTTAGGTGTCGCCCAGCAATTTGTCTCATGGATTAGAACCGCTCATATCAAAATTTAATCATGGATTAGAGTCGCTCAGATCAAAATTTATGGAGTGATTGAATGTGTGATGAGAGCAAACGGTTGAGGATATTAGTTATTGATGTAATGCCCAAGATAAAGAATCTCCATAAAGAATCTCCAAACTTCTAGTTTTCCTTTTGTGGTAGGTTAGGTGCATCAGTTAACAGCCATTGGAGTACTGAATCATTTGCAGCACATGGGCAGTTATAAACAGTAATAAGTGCATATTTAGATTAACCTAGAGTCCCTAGCAATCAATAAAAAATACTTTCCTCTGTAAAAATGACTAAACAATGTAAATAATCACACCAAGCTTGCGCATGATCATCGATAGAAGAAAAACGCAAAACAGGCAGCATTAAAAATTGTGTTGGAGGTTTATGAACTTGCAAGGTGGATGCAATCTAGTACGTGAACTTACAAAGCGATTCTGGTGCATGAACTTGTCTAGTGTATGCGAACCAAGGCCAAAACGATTCACTATGGCTATTCTTACTAAGTTGAATGCTGATTAGGATGCCTCATAGGCACGCACTTGAGAAAAAACGCCATGTAGACATGCATGTGCTCTCAAATATAAAATAAGCATGCTACTTGTAAAATGAAAGACATATTAAAAAAAGAGGAAGGGTGTAGGGGATATAAACAAAGGGACGAATAAAATAGAAACCAAATAAGAGGTTATTTTGCGAATATTGTTGCACGTCCTTCTCACAAGTGTGTGACATCCGAATCAGCGTCCAACTTAGCAAAATTAGCCACAATGTGGCATTTGGCCTTGGTCCTCACACACATACAAGTTTGTGCGCCAAAATGAGTGTTTCGCAAATTTATGTACTAGATTGCACCCACCTGTCAAGTTCGTCTAATTAAAGGCTCAAAGGTCAATGCAGCATCAGATTTCACCGACGGATGTAAAGCATTCCCTCAATTAGAAATGCTTCATAAAGGAAAGTCATTCACTGACAAATATTAAGTTCACTAAAATAAAGAGTACTGGGTATTAATATGCCATTCAGCAATAGGAACCACATCCCTTGTTGTCAATCATTCAAAGTGAAGCAGCAAACTTAGGATCTCCACAAGGATGCTAGTCAAGGGTATCCTTAAACATTAGTAAGGTCTTAGACTCTTAGTGCACCGTGCTGGCTCGGCAGCAGCAAACAAGAAGGCAATGCATTGATATATAAACAGAACTGAAAACAGCATATCATTTTTCGAACAAATGAAATGGCATATGATGATTTTAAGCCGCATTGCGCCCAAATTCAACGGGAAGAAGGGAGTACGAAGAGCACGAGCAGACCACTTGCCTTGGCGGCGCTGGCTTTCGCCACACCCATCCCGGATTTCTGCGACGGCAACCGTGCCAAGTTCGGCACGCCATCCCATGGCAACTCCCTGGCATCAATGGGCGCTCTAGAAGCCGGGGCTTCCTGGACCGATGCAGGCTGCTGCCGTTGCTGCTGCTGCTGCTCCTGGATCCTCTTGGCAGCAGCCTCCCTCGCAACCGTCTTCCTCTCCTCCTTCCCCACGCCAACGCCAGCGCCGCCACGCTCATGGCCACGGACCACCCGGTCGGGACCGAGCGTGGTGTCGCTGGGCGACTTGTCCACCGCCGATCCCTTCGAGCAAAGGCCCCCCATTCCTCCCGCCCCCTCCTCGCGAAACCCAAACCCTAATCCCCCAAACCTCACCCCAGTAGCTCTCAAGTCTCACCTCACACTCACATGCACCCGAACACCCCAACCAGCTCCGATCTCCTCGCCGCCGCCGCCGCCTCCCAGTCCCATCCCACCAATCCAATCCACCATCAACCGAATCAGCCGGAAAAACAAACGGCCCCGCGCCGCAAGCGCGATCCCCCCCAGCGAGCCTTTCCCGCGCGAATCGGGAAACACGAGGGGGGATATGCCCACCGGGAATCAGTCGCGGGCGGCGAATCGGGGGAATCCCCGTCCTCGCGAGGAGGCAGATTTGGGGAGGACGCCGCGGCGGGGTGGGTGGAGCGGAAACGGAACGGGGAGTAGTAGCAGCAGCAGCAGCGCGGCGCCTGCCTCTGCCTCTGCCTACCGCCACTCCACCGAGCTGAGCTGCAGCGCAGGAACAGCAGGAGGCGGGCAGGGGAGCAGGGAGCTGAGCAGCCTGAGCTGAGGTCGCACGCGCGATGGGGCGAACGGCAACGCGCAAGCGCACGCACGGCGGGGGCGGCGCGGGATAACACGCGCGTGTCGCCGTCAAAGCGTGTGTACGCAGTTAAGAGGTTAACAATGGTTAGGACTTAGGAGTAGTAGTTAGTGTAGTCATGTGCCATTTTATTTATTATGGGCCACTATCAGATCTTTTTTTAGTGCATTCAATACTACCTTAATTTAGATATTCTACTATAAGAATTTTCATAAATACTACTGGTAGTAAAGAACTTCTTCCGGTTTTATAATTCTAATTTTTAATGTTTTAGATAAGGTTGAGGTCATACTTTTTTAACATTAACTATTGATAACTTTAAAATTATTTAATTTATTAAAAAGCTAAAAAAATACACGTGGATTTATCTTGTAAAGTACTGTAATAAATTTAAAATGTATTTATTTATTATATAGACTATAAAAAAATATAGCCAAATATATATTTAAAGATTGTGTTATTATCTAAAACTTAAAGGATTACTCCCTCCGTCCCATAATATAAGGGATTTTGGTGGTATTTGACACATCATAGTCTTGTGAATCTAGGACCCTGTTTAGATGGGACTAAAACTTTTAAGTCCCTATCACATCGGATGTTTATACACTAATTATAAATATTAAATGTAGACTATTAATAAAACTCATCCATAATCTTGGACTAATTCGCGAGACGAATCTATTGAGCCTAATTAATCCATAATTAGCCTATGTGATGCTACAGTAAACATTCTCTAATCATGGATTAATTAGGCTTAAAAAATTTATCTCGTGAATTAGCTTTCATTTATGTAATTAGTTTTGTAAGTAGTCTATATTTAATACTCTAAATTAGTGTCTAAATACAGAGACTAAAGTTAAGTACCTAGATCCAAACACCACCTAGATATGCTCTCTGTCTAGATTCGTAGTACTAGCATATGTCACATCCCACCAAAATCTCTTATACTGGAAGAAGAGAGTAAGAAACTATATAGAGAGTAAATGCACAAGCATCGTTTTAAGTATTTCTGAAAATAGATACAAATCCGTTTTCTTTTTTTAAGTACAAGTGAGAGCTATAAACGAAAATGCATTAGTGAGAATTAACTTTAAAAAATGCTCGAGAACAACTAAGATGTACATAGCCTTTATTTATGAATACCGGGATTTTAACCCTAGCATATAGAGCCATGTGTTCACGATTCCATTGCCACAGCCATTATTAATTGGAGTAGCTCTCTCGGTCCCTTGCGTAGAGGAAATTGTGCTTTTTTTTTTTTTTACATATTGGTCTTCTGGTCGAATTTGACTGAAACGTGTACCTTTAAACGGTCTATATGGTCTAAAATTGTTTACGGTATTCAAATAGTAATGGCATATGAATTTCCAATTAGCATATGCAGACTTGATTAGATTGTCCAATTGATTTGTTTGACTAGCTAACCTTCGTCTTAATATATACTGCCTACGACCATACACATAAAAAAAATTCGAGCATCAATACAGCGTGACCGTGTGACTTTGAAAGCATGTTTGCAATTTAAGATTCCTCAACTACTTAGTATCTTATTTTGTCTGGTTCTATTATTCTTATCATTTTTATAAGCTTAAAATTAAATAGTTCAAACTTAAACTATCAACGACTTTTATAGTATTTATTTTGAAGATAAAATTAAATATTTATAAGTATTTTGTAAGTATTTTGATAAAATTAAGTATTTATAAGTATTTTGATAAAATTAAATATTTATTTGTGTTTTTACATATTATATTAGAAAATTATAGTCAAAATATGTTTTGAAGGCTGTGTCATCGTTTAAAAGTTATTGTATCCAAGGAGTACATAACAGTATAGTGAAGATACTTAATGCATGGGTTGTTGAAGTGGTACCCCAATGTAATGACCCAAAGCATTTAACTATCGGAGCAAATAAAGAACACCTAAGCAATTAGGGCTAGATGGGCCTGGTCAAAACCTAAAACCAAAATGGGATTTGTGTGGAAGAAAAGCAAGTTATGGATCATGGCCAGACAAATCAGTCTGATGGTGATTATCCATGGCCTAGCTAAATCCAGGCAAGCTTAGCTATCCATGGTTCCTAGTCAACATAAATATCTACTCTTTTTGCTGTCTTTTTCTTGTACCAGGTCAGCCTTCCCAGCCATTTCCTTAATTTGTCCCTGTAGGAAAAGGAACATAACTAGTGAAAGAACCTTGGTTGTTTATATCTGGTTATCCATCGTGCCACTTGACAGCAAGTGGATGCACTTGTCACATTTAGCTTCTCTGTCGAACACGGTAAACATGGCTAAGTTTTTAGTCGTTGCTACACTAATCCGGCCACAAAGATGATTGTTTTCTATGTCGTTATCCGACATGTCTTAGCAGATCAATAGTAGGAAAGATCGGTAAAGTTAGTAGTCATTATTCCGCGTTGAACTAACCTATTATAGCAAAAACCTTGATCACTAAATTAAAAAATGCAACTTACACAAAGTGAGGGAGGTAAAGAAGAACAAGAAAAGAAGGAGAGATCACAGGTCACCTGTTGCATACCGAAAATTTCCGGCTTAAGATCACGAGGCAGATTCTGCTTAGTCTTAAAGAAGATTGACCTTTTGAAGACAAGCAGGTGAAATTACAGTGATCTGAACACACTCACTTGGTCAGTGATTCCAAACGTTAGCTTCAAGCCTTCCCCTTTGCCCCTGCAAAGAGAGTGACGGACATGACTGAAGTGAGCAACAAAGTCCCAAATTGTAGCTTTCTTTCCGCCAAAGTGCCAATGGCCTCAGAGGCTCATCAGTTCGGTGAAAAGCAGATATCTTCAGTAGTAGTAACTCTTTCTACGCGACAACTTGTTACTTCCTCCGTTTTACAATATAAGTCATTCTAGCATTTTCTACATTCATATTGATGCTCTAGATCATCAATATGAATGTAGAAAATGCTAGAATGACATCAATATGAATGTAGAAAATGCTAGAATGACTTACATTGTATATGTCTAGATTTATTAGTATCAATATGAATGTAGAAAATGCTAGAATGACTTACATTGTAAAACGGAGGGAGTAGTATTTTTTATTTGCAAACAAGGTTGGAAAGTATTCAGGTCAAATCCTTGTTCCTGTTAGGATTGTAGTGGATTTGCAGTAATTATCCAATTTATGAATAATTTCGTTGCGTTGTTAGTTGATTGGCTGGCAGTGTCAGGCAAGATCAGTTTAACATAAGCATCACAGCAGAACACTGAGCAGCATGTAATTTCTGACCATCAAAACAAGCAATACGTTCAGTAACTGAGAAGCTGTAGTTACGAAACCAAAAAAACAAACTAGAAATTAGAAGCTGGTTTTCTAGGTTCTTGGCTAGCTACCAACCAACTGTTTCTATATAACAAGCCCTATGTACCATGAACAGAATTCATTGAGCAAAACCTTTCTTGGCTCATTTGAAACCCAAGAATTCTCGCCGTAGTAAATGTTTAGTTCCTGCAGAAAACGGGGAAAAGTCTGCCCCATTCCAAACAAGAACTTGGCTGTCACAAGAGCGACACCTTGAGCTTCTGCCAAGCTCAAGGAATATGTTGCCAGAAGATGTTTCCCACATGGAGTTAAAGTATAGCAATAGCTCCAAATTTGATCTCTTCAAAATCCACCACAGCTAGGATACTGATTGCAACTGGCTGCCAAATTCAGAGCACAATTTTTTTCGTTAGAACGGCCAAACCTTTGAACCGGTCCTCCCTCTCCTAGCCTCTGCCTTTGAACCGGTCCGGATCCCCCCAAATCATGCGGTTTCTTTCTCCCCCGGAGCAAGGATGACGATCAGACAGCGATGGCGGCGACGACGACGGCGCCATGTGCAGCGCGCAGCGCATCGCGTCGCGTCGCGTGGCATATCGCATTATTGTTTCTGTGGACGCAGACCAAGTCCAAAACGATCGAGCAGGGTGTCGGGTTGGTTTCTTGGTTCGGTGTGCAGACTATTGACAGGTTCGAGATCACTGACGACCAGAACGTACGCGGCGCATGTGTGGTATCCGCAAACGGAATTGTTAGAAAATTTTCACAAGTTTTTTTTCCCTTAAAACTTTTAAATTTATGATCATTGGATCATCTTGAGATTTATGTATGAAGAGAAAAAAATTGCTAGAACAAAATTTTTACACATGTTACCGTAAAATCCCAGTACTAACCAAACAAACCATAGATGAATATACGTTTTATATAATTTATATCATAATTATAGTACAGAGTATAGTTAGAGTGCATTTATAGTGTAGTTTTATTTTAATTATACTATAATTACATATATATATATATATATATATATATATATATATATATATATATATATATATATATATATATATATATATATATATATATATAAGTTTTTCACTCATAGAACCTTAAAACTTACTGTAGTTTTCTAGATATTTCCATTGGCAAATACGTGCGACGGTGAAGACCGAAGATATGCGAGGGATCGGCAGCGCATCACCTCGCCGGTGTTCTGGCGGTTGGGTGGAATGGAGATCGCCGGCGAGATGCTGACACGGCGGCGAAGGATGCTCTACCGTGTAGTAGCATCACCGGTGTTGCCAATACCAAGTGAAGGGGTCATGGATGTGCTGGGATATGATATGGTTTTACGTGTAAAACACTAGCAGAAAAAAGAAAAAAGCCCGAAAACATGATTACCACTATAATGAATAATTACAAGGAATACAAATATGATGTAGAAGGGTTATATAGGTTGTAATAATATCATATTATTTGTATTTACGTGGATGAAATAGAAAATGAGAGGGAAGAAAATTAAGCACACGAATTATAATAAACTATATGAGAGAGGTGGACCAGATATTAATAATGTAGTATATATTTATTATTAACTATCATATGAGTGGGATATTAGGTTGGTCGTAGACGATATGTCAATTATTTCTATATTATTAAACTTGTTTTTAGAAGCACATCAGAACTACGGTAAAACGTCTTAGATCTACCCGTCCAAATCAACGTACAAATTTGGTCATTTACCCCTCTTAACTATTAGTACTCTGAAGAGTCCACGTATGTGCTTAATCTAAAGCCTACCGGTCCTCATTTCACCGTTACTACAAAATCGTCGTTGTATCACCATTGTTATAAAAAGGGATCACATAAACCGATGTCTTATACTCCCTCCGTACTCGTAAAGAAAGTCATTTTGGACAGTGACATGATCTCCAAAATACAACTTTGACTTCTTGTTTCTATAAAAATATTTATTAAAAAATGATATATGTATACTTTTATGAATGTATTTTTCAAGACAAATCTATTTATATAATTTTTATATTTTTCAAACTCAACAATTTGAGAGTTATTCATGATTTATATTTCTAAAGTTTGACTTAAACATTGTCCTAAACGACTTCCTTTACGAATATGGAAGGAGTATATAGTGGTGGTTAAAATAAACTTATGTAGTAATTACTACATACTCACTCCGTCCCAAAATATAAGCAATTTTGGTCTCCGACACGGTCTCCGAGATGCTATCTATAAAAGTAAGTTGTTTTAAATAAAAATAGTTGCATATTATGATAGTTTGTTTAATGATAAATCTAGTAACATCAATTTTATATGATTGATATTTATTATTATTAATAGTTAAAATTAAAAAATGTTTGACTTGTCATTATAGTAAAAATGCTTATATTTTGGGACGGAAGGAGTATGTTCTATATTAAAAAAAGGTATATTAAATACATAGCTAACCGTTGTTATATTTTAAGATGAAAATAGTCACTTCGAACTAAACTCCCCAATCAAGGAAGCATGATAGAAAAGCGTGCCTAATGAAGCAATATATATAATTTATAGCAGTAGTATAGCAGGGACATATGGATCCATTTGTCTTGTATCGCCTCCATAGAATTCTAACTCCAGACTCCATTGATCTGGTCGCAGGGAAGCACACTCAACCAGGAGCGTCATGCAGAAGAGACACGCCATTCACTGTCCATGCACGGACGTAGAAAATTCATAATTTCTTCTCCATCAGCCACTTGGTTTGCAATAGGGAGAAAAAACTGCCGTGGCAATAAAGGAAATGTTAGCTGTCTCATTTTCATCTTTTTTTTTTTTGACATAGTATTCTCTGCACATTTGTATGGCTAGATGTTATTCCAAGTAAATCTAAAAAACCGTCGTGTGGAATGAGGGAATTTTGTTGGATTTAGCAGTGGAGCCAAATCAACCAATGCTGACGATGAGCATTTATTTTGTCGCTGGTTAATCATCGCTACGGGCATTCATTTTCTTTAGATCATTCTCCCAGAAGAAAGCAAACGCTAAATGCCAAGAGAATTCAATTCTATATGATAAAAGGGCAAAAGTATTGAAAGAAGAAAGAGGGCGGAAGAAATATAAAAGGGGTATGAAATGTAGAAAACTACGCATGATACTATACATAGTACTCTAAATGCAGCCTCTAACTAGGATAGACTCCGCTGATACTGAATGTCCACCCCTTAAATCCAAGATTCCACACCAAGTAGGAAAGAAGGAAATAATTTTAGGAATTGAAGAATAACAGGGGATCATACAGCCTTTAACTTGTCCCAAAAAACAAGCCCAACGATAAGATCACTCTACTGCCTAACCTCCTACCGTAACTGTTCATAGGAATTTCAGCGATTGACAGTGGCAACATTGTGGCGGATCCTGAAGCAGGCGCCTAACAGCGGGATCCACCGCTGGTTGGAATTTTTTTTAAGGAATTACTAGCTGAATGTCGGTATGTTACAACTGAATTTTAGAAAAAAAAACTTATTATACACATTTTAAATACACAAACAAATTAGCCACTTTTTTTTCTCTAATCATCTAGTTGTTTTTTTGGAGATTATGGATACCCCATACCCGCATGGCATGTATATCCGACTGGGTATATGGGTACTATATGTAGATAGAATATCTTTAAGGGATTCGGGTTAAATTCCTAACTTGTGTATCAAGGAAATACCCGGGATCCTAGTCGTTTACGATTGTATTTAAAATTTACTTGCCTATTCCGTTAAGAATATAATACGGACTCCTCCCTCTATATAAGGAGGGGTCTGGGTGCCTCTTAGGATATAACTTTTCTCCCAGATCATACGATCAATAACATACTCGGCGGATCAATCCCCGGACAGAAGTATGGTATTACTTCTCATAGAGAGGGCCTGAACTTGTATAAAATTCCTTGTTTCTTAACCCATTCACTTTTCCAGCTTGATAGCCACCCTCTTTTCGTATTGCCGAAATCTTGTTTCGACATTTTTGCTACCAAATTCACATGAGAATTTAGAAGATGAGATACACATGCTACACCCTAACAAGTAGCCCACCTATTAGGGAATGGGTGGTGGTGGATGGCAGATTCACCACTCACCATTATCATTGAAATCTTTTAAAATGGTATAGACATAAAAACTAATCCATACAAAAATAATATTTTTTTTTGTGTTGCATAGGAGCCATATATATATTTTTTGCTTTAGATATACTTAATTACTACCATGAACAATAGCAAGAAGTTACTATATCTTAAGAGAGAGGTAGCAATGATTTACTTGAATTTCGTTTGGATGTGAAAGTACTGTTTGTCCTTTTAATTCAAAATTTAAGCTGTCCATATTTGTTGTATCTGACACTGACTGGAAAATAGTTACTTTCGTGCTTTGAGAGGGACGGTCGTTCGGTCCTCTGAAAATAAAAATGCTTCTGTAGAAAAAGCATTGTTCAACAAAGTCGGAAAACTTAAATGCTCCGTTATGAATAAATGATGGTGAGTAGGGCCAGAGGTATGGTACAGTTGCCATGTATTTTCACCGGCCATAATTTACAGATGAAGAAATAAACAACAAGAACTTTCCTGTGGCAGGAATTCAGGACCACCATACGTCCCTACAACTGTCCTCGCCTCCTCGGCATTCAAGAGGAGCAACCAGTGGCAAAATCATGAAATAGACAAGAAAAGGAAGCAACATCACAACTGCACCACATTGGCACTCATGAAGCTACCACCAACACAACAGAAGCAGCCAAATAATCATTTACAGGGACGCCTTTTATTGACGACGAAGAAGAGTGAACATTTACATGGACGAGTTTGATACTACTATTGTACAGCATTGGCTAGCGCTATACAGAAACCTATATTTCAATAAATCTTCAGCATTTACAGGGTCGTCAGTTCAAGGCTATCTGAGACGCAGATGTGACGATGGACCATTCAGAATTTGTAATACTGGAACATATGGTGGCCAGGAATTGGCTATTTCATATGGGATGTTGGCCCCTAAGCTGAGAGGAAGGAAGACATTGCTCTTCTGAAATCCAGAGAGTTCAGAGCAGATCCTGGTAAAGGGTTACCTTCGGGAACCCACAAACCACCTCTGTGGGGAAGCATAATCTGTTTGTTGGTACTCTTATCACCACCACTTGACTCCGCAGAAGGATCTTCTTTCTTTTTCTTTACAAATTCAAAGAACTCCGCAACTTGTCGGGCATATCTTCATGGACAAGATGGAAATATCAGACACAGAAAATTTGAACTCAAGGGCACCACAGGATGTTCAGCTGAAGCTATAGAAAAGATCCAAAAGTATGTAGCATTCTCTAAAGAAAATGGGCATCGCAAAAATGCGGGAATGAATAGCATAAATACATAAACTCCATCATAAGGTTCGGCAGAAAAATAATACTACAACAGATGAAACAGAGCGTATTGGATACCAAATCAGGCCGGGAAATGCATGGATACCAAAACTAGGGCCACATAAAGTCAAGGAACAATAGTCACATACTAAATTAGAGATATAGCAACAGCACATAAACGTTTGTTGATTTTGCAAAATATTTTCTGTTTTAAGTACCAAAGCTGAACCAAACTCTCCCCTAAAAGATATCCAAAAAATGAACCCATGGGCATACTGAATTATCTCATCAAGCTACCGCAATTAGCATCAGTTCCAATGTTCTTACAATAAATTGGTCAGGTTGTAGTGCTATAGTGGAAAGAGACCTTAGGAGCAGTTTAATAACATTTTAAGTACAAGACTCTTCATATAAATGAACTATAATGAAAAGTGCAAAAACAAAATAATTGAGTTCCTAATATGTCATAAACCATGTCATATACGGATATGTTGCTAGCAGTTGAGTTGGTACTAAACATTCGATGTAAGGAATTTAAGCAAGAAGTGTCATGCAACTAAACTAGCAGAAAGAAACTTCATACCAAGTACTACAAAATACATGTATGCCATACACAAAGGAAGAATGATGCATGAGCTATAGGATAATAGTTGTACTCTGATCCCTCTTAACTTGAAGCCACATACAAGAAAAGCATTTCTTTTTTGTGCTCCTATAGTCTTTCTAGCATTTCAACAGTTGTAAAGTTGAACTTTGAAATCTTGACCACTATGAATAAAGATCAAGGTAGACCTACCGTGTGACTAGAACGCAGCCACTATACGAACAGGGTTGAGTTCAATTTTGGAATAAATATAATGTTTGTGTTTGTTAAGAAGAATGAACTAGTAAATAAATACAGGCTAGCACTAGATGTTCTTAGATGTTCTTTTCTTATGAAATAAATACAGGCTAGCACTAGAAGAAAATAATATAAGGTTGACAATTGTCCTATGGACAAAATAAAGGTTTTGCAAAACTTACTGTCGTTTGGCTTCAATATCCTTGTTAAAATCAATGTCATGTTCGCAGTCGAGGACCAGAGCAGGAACCTGATTGAGAAGAAATTTCGTTCATTTAACCAAACAAACCTTACTAATTTCTTTTGAAACTAAGGAGAACATTACCTTCTGGATACTAGAATGCATATGATCTCCTTCTAAGTAGAATACTCGTTCTCTTATATCCGGAGGCAAAGAGCCCTCCATATGGACTGGAACTTGACTGACCGATAATACACCAGGACCTTGTCCTTTGGAAGGAAGCAGCCAGCTCTCATGTTTCTCATGCAAACCTCGAAGGTAATCAAGAGTAACACCACCCTCTTCAGATCTTTTCCGAACCATCATTCTTTTGTGGCAAGTGTCGGGACTAGCTCTTAGATAAATAAAACCATCTGGAATAAGTCCTGGGAGTGATGACACCACTGGGTCAAACCAGGAGTCATAGATGCTGATCTCCATCTCGTTCATCCAGTTGGCTTCATGGACAGCACGAACAAAAACCTTCAAAAATTTAACTTTGAAAATTTTAACTAGGAGAAGAAAATAACAATGGGAAATATAAAGACTGCAATCGTATCAAAGCTCTAGATTCACAATCCAAGCGGACTTTGACGGAAAGATTTACCTACCATTCTATCACTGAAAACACTTCTTTCCATCAACCTGAGAGGCTTTATGCCACTTGAAGATTCCTTCTCTTGCATGACCCTTGTAACAAACACATAATTCTGGAAAGTGTATGCATACCTCTGTGGCTCAGCATAGAAAGCATCAAGTATGTTGAAGTGATCAGGGCCAACATCTTGCCATTTAGCAATAGGTTCAGGCACTATCTCTACAAGGTCACGTAATTCGATGGTCTCATTGGCAATTCTTTGAAGGAATGTAGTTTTTCCGACACTGATGTTCCCTTCCACACAAAAGGTCAGCCTCTTATTTTTGGAAACATTTGGTGAGTCAGTTCCTTTCAGCTCTTCATCAACACTTTCTTTAATGAACAAAGTTATACTCTCAGCATGATTCTTGTGTATGATGCCAACAGAACTTTGCAAGAACTCAACCATTTTCTCATTGGACTTGCCAAAGAACTGCAAAAACTCATGAAGTGTCAGTGTCAGGTATGCGGAAATTAGGATAAATAAAGAGGGAAAAAGACATCTAATATTCGTGCAGTAAGGTCGCCACAATGAAATAAATATCACAAATCAGGCCTGGAGGAGAACCCACAATTGTACTCTGTTCTTTTCCTGACACTAAGGTTTTTCTTTTCAGGATCTTAGTTGTGTTACAACAAGAAAATTAACTTTCACCCAAAACAGTTTCAACACAAAATTTGACATATATGTTGAACACGGGCATCAATTTCACCAATTCTTCTGTCATCTCTCCTAGCGAGCACAAGAATGCAAGATCTCCTATGATGCAGAATTGGACATCAGCATGGATCAATAATTCACCAATGACCACGAAACACACAGTTGCTTGCAAGCGCAACACAACACCTACAGTATCCTTATGTGTCAGTCGACTCACTTACATACAGGTATGTGAGTGTAGGCAAAGGCATGCAAAGTACTTGACTTAAGTGACTACAACTAAGCATATATATTTCTCACATGTTTAATAAACAACAACAAAACAGATATAGTACTACTCCCTCCAGGTTGATAATATTTATTGTTTTGAACAAGAATGATGTTATGATTTTGGATATGAATCATTTCTAAAATATTTGTCAGACCATATGCACAGATTAGTTTTAAAAAGTACTCTAATCAAAGTATATATTTGTTGATACTATATATATTATAGTAGAAAATAAAGGTTATGATTGTTTCCTAGAGACCGTGCTCTTGTTGAAAACGATAAGTATTATCGATCTGAAGGAGTACAAGCTAATATTTCACAGTTCACACACACACACACCTTATCCCTGTACAGCTGCTTGAGCTGTGCCACGCCATCGAATCCCTTGTCCACGAGCTTCCTCAGGTTGCGCGGCCCGACTCCAGGAATCGCGAGCAGCTCGCCGCTCCCCATCGCCGCATCGCCCCGACTTCTCTGCCTCCTATCCACCACCGGACGGCTCCCACCTCCCCCGGCGACGCTCTGCTCGCCATCCTCCTCGGCATCATCATCCCCGCACCTCTTCGCCGCATCGGCGGAGCAGGAGAGCCCCCTCCTCGAGCGCAGCAGCCGCCACGGGGAGAGGCGGAGGCGGAGGCGGCTAGGGTTTGGTGGGCCCGAACGCGCGGCGAGAAGCGGGCCCGCCTGGGTGGTGAGCAGCGGCGGGGCGCCGAGGAAGGAGGCGGCGGCGCGGGGTACGAGCCTGTGCATCGCTGCCCGCGGCGTCGGCTGCAGGGCTCATCAATCGCGCCTCCAGCACCCCCAGTAGGCCGCCGGCCAACGTGGCTGCGGCGGCGGCGGAATTGCGGCTGCGGTGGTTGGAGGGGTTCAGGGTTTTGCTGGCGCTATCACCTCGCTGACTTCACTGAGGTTGCCGCGAAAAGTGAGGAGAAGGAAGGGGAGGAAGGGGAAGCGGTGCACGAGCGGTCCACGGGATTTTTTTTTTAGTAAATTACAGATTGGACCATGTATTTTTTGACCGTAGTTTCACATTGAACTGGTTCAACATTTTCATTTAACACCAGATCTTTTTACCCAAAATTACAATTTGGACTAGTGGCCCACCTATCAATGACGATTGAGGATGAAAAGAGAAAATTGGAGCTACCGATAGAGCAACAGGAAAAGGACAAATGCACTGATCCATTTCTGACCACTCTCACCAGCTCCGTAGTTTGCGTTTGTGGTTGTGAGTATGGTGTTAGATGCTAGGGCCATGCTGCCGGCGACGACGGCGACGGTGACCGTCTCTGCTATCGATGTTGGCGACGGCGAGGAACTAGGAACGACAGCAGTTGTGGCGGGCCGACGGCAACTCATCGCCAACGATGGCCGTGGTGTCGGTGGACTTGCCGATGATGTGGGGGGGACGAGAGTAGGATGAAGCGGGAGGCCGGGAGCTAATCGTCTAGGCAAAGGCCGTGGCATCCATGGCCATCAGGGGTTGATGCAATTCAAATGTACTGCACCTATCTAATTCCTGAGCCATTTCTATTTGCAGAGTGAGATCCATGTTTTTTAAAGCAGCTCGTATAGTCTGCTTGAATCTTAATCGATCCATTGATTGATGAATCGGCCTCTGCATGCCCCCTTTCTTTTTTCTTTTCTCCTGCAAAGGACTCTAATCTCGTAGTAATGCAGGTGGAGAGATGTAGAGAGTCGTAGGCGCTAGTAAGTGTGCCACTAGTCCAATTTGTAACTTTAGGTAAAAAGATCTGGTGTTAAGTGAAAATGTTGAACCATATGTGGTTCAATGTGGAACAATGGTAAAGATATATGTCCCAATATGCAATTTACTCTTTTTTTAAGAAAGGTCCACGGAAATTGTACTCTGTTCTGCGCTGGTTTTTCCCCTATGCTCGTGCAGCATGGACCGGACCAATGAGGTGGAGAATTTTATTTATTTATATATTTTTATATATTCTAAAAAGTTACAAAATCCATTTTTGTTTCCAAAAATTACATGAATGTAGTACTCCTGTAAATTTCTGTAATTTTTAAAAACAAATATATATTTCTGTAAATTTAAAAAATAAATAAATATATAAATTCAAAAAATTGAGGTGCGGGACTTAGGTTGTATGGGCCCATCTCTCGTATGACTCGTGTGGTGGGCTGTGGTCTAGAAACGGGGATGCGAAGGGCTATTGCACCTTTCGGCCCTAAATCGTTAATACGGCCCATCAGGGGAAACAGCGGTCCACGAACAAATCTACGCAATAGCCCATAAATACCCGTGCATGACTGCATGTGAACTTTGTTTTAAAAAATCTCCTTTTTTTTTTAAAAAAAAGAGGAAAACTTACGAACGAACAGTCGAACATATTGTGCATGACGTGCCATTTTTTTGCATGATCGTCCAGGTAAATCCTGGTGCAAACTGGAGTTACTGAATTTGACAATCTCAGAAAAACTGAGTCTCACATGAACTGAATATTTTGACTCTCTCTTGTAGCAGCCTCACCGACCCAGGAGTATCCGTGTTTTCTTTTTTTACTCTTTTTAGACAGGGATTCAGTGGACTCTGACCGTACGTCGTCGGTACGTATTTCTCTGAACGATTCTGGTAAATGGCATATCTATCAGCCAATCAGGTAAGGCAGGACACCGTCCAAATCAGATGACGTATTAAGAAAACGAATGAAGCTTCACGTGCCGATGGCTTTGACGGCACCGTTCACCTATCAGGAATTCAGGATACAATACTCAGAATTCAGGAGCGTGGAAAACGGAGTAGTAAAACGCCTGTAGATTACACCCAAAAAAAACTGCACGAGTTGACTCGTTGATCTTGCAGAAAATCAGACATAGAATCTCCAGCTGTTTTCAGAGCCTCTTGCTGAAAGAGTCAGTTCAGTTAGGCTAGCTCTGACTAGTTAACTACCCTTACATACTGTAATCACTAATCTCTTCTCAGTCATTCAGCTGAGCTTGCAAGCGTGCGTGTGGGAAATGTTGAGATTATAGACATATAATGATTTAATCTATTCCATAAATAAATCATGACATTACAGATGAAAACTAGCATGAACGCATCATTAGATCTACACATGTAAACTACACAGTATAACATGAACAGATCAAATATGCGCAACATATTGAACACGTACCGAGGTGACGGAAAGACCGGCTGCTTGGTCGAAACTTTTCGCAAGTGTCTACGAAGGCACGAAACACGCGAGCGAAGAGGAAGGCGAGCCGTCGCGAACGAACAGGGAGCAGTCGCGCGAAGCGCTTCCCAAAAACCTTATTGCCGCCTTCTCCCGGTGCAGAACGTCGAAGACAGAGGTTCCGGAGACCTGCTCTCCCGATCGCCGGTGCACGCCGGCGAGCGGGATGGAGTAGTCTACGAGCGACGACGCAGTACAGAGTAGGAGACAAACCCTAGATTGATCTCGCAAATATTGCGTGAAGATGGCGGGTCGGTTTATATAGAGAAGGGTCGCTTGATCAGGGCGCCCGCACGATCTCTACTGCGCGTAACCGAACCGGATAAGTCGCGCGTAACTTATCCGGACTCCACGCCGTTTGCACGCACCGGATTTTTCGGAACGTTTCCAAAACAAAAACGAATCCGAATTTGCAGCAAAACAAAACTGCAAAAGGAGGCTGCATCTGCGCAAGGGTGAGGATGCCAATTTTTCGGACCATTCGACGCGTACGTCGTGCACGCGCGCCGCCTGCCCTGCCAGGCGAGACGAGCGAGCGCGCGCATGTGTTTCCCCTCTTCTCTCCACCACACATGCTTCAAGTGGCTAGGAGGGCATCCTCCCTTTTAAGGAGGTCCCCCTCTCCTAGAATAAGCAAGGTGGTACTAAACTCCACATGCATGCCATCCCATGAGGTGGGCTTTTGTGATTTTCCAAAGAATTAATCTTCGAGTGGGCTAAGGCCCATTCATTAATTCCAACAGGAAAAAGTACACCCATAAGATACGACTCGGTTTATGAAAAAAACAGCATTCTTAATCATCCTGCACACGCTTTGCTGTTCTTTGGAAAGTCTTAACAAATCTGTCAACGTTTGGGTGAAAGCCATGGCCGAACTGCAACACGTTAAACTATGGGAATGAAAGCTACAGAGGTAGAACAGGTCGTCTTACGATATTAACGCAGCCTGTTTTTTGTTTTTTCAGATGTGTCTGGCACGAGCTGTTTTTATGGTAGCTCTGACTAGTATTACTAGTAATTAATCATCAGCCATCCAACTGGTCCTTGCATACACGTTGAATTGTTCGTATTTTCTCGTTAGCCCTTGCTCCTAATGTTGGGTTCTTATAGTCTTTCTTTTGTTTACTGTACTAAGATCAATGCTGATAGGAAAGCAGGTAGAGATCAAATAATGCGAGTTGAAAGAATCGGCTTGAAGACCTTGCGATGCAAAAAGACCTTATCTAAAGTCTCTCTATATTTTGGTGAGATCATTGCAAAGAAGATAGGAAGGAAAAAGAGTATATATTGGCAATAGGTAAGGTGGTTATGAGCTCCCATTTCCCATACGAAATACTCTTCTATACTCATATCATCATGGATTTAAAACAACTGCAACATTAAACTAGAAAATGTTGTTAATAAACAAAAGAACAAAACCAGCATATACGAAAGGTTGTTCACCAAATTCTATTTAATTACATGCATAAGCAGATCTTTCCATCCAACTATACTTAAAACCTTCACTTGTAATGAAGCAACCAAACCATTAATTCAAGCCATCATTATACTAGAATTTTGTAGGACCTGGATGCATTCAGTATGAATAAATATAAGTAGCTGGCCTAGCGGAAACTAAACAATGTAACTGGTATATCTGATTAATTTGGTGAAGATGAACTGTCACACGTCCTGCATATGTAGGACAGCCTTACCTGCATCATCCCAAATATGAGTTCGAGCCAACGAAACAAACAAAATTCCATCAGCATCTAGCTAATAAGATTGATTAGAGAGCTTCCATGAGAGGAAAATTAATACCGGCAGTGCTTTACTGGTGCAGAAAGATTCTTGGAACAGAACATTTCTTTTTCATTTGAGCAGGGGAATCAGTATTATCTTTGCCAATTTATGTCACACACTGTACTATCCTACCAATTAAGAATTAACACTTATCAATTATTCTCTATTAAACCTGAAAAGTTCAGGGAATATTTATTGCTGAGAGATTAACTAATTCACTAGTCATAACATAATCATAGATAAGGCGCAAGTTGTGAGGACAACATCAGGTAGGTTCGGCAGGCTGTGCTGCGAAGCACGAACGGAGAAAAGATGGATGGATTAATTGTCATTAGCTGCCATACAGGTCGGTAGGCCTTAACATCCTCCACAGTCCATACTAATCACATTATCAGAGGCTATGTAGCGCCTCCATTTGCAGATATCATTATGGATCAAGACATATGCTGCTGGCTAGGGATGAAAACGATCGGAAATCAAAAAAACAGCCTCAACCATTTCCGTAACCATATTTTTCTCGGAAACGAAATCGGAAACGGTAAAGTCGGAAACGAAAACGATATCGGAAATATCGGAAAACCGGAAACGGAACAATACGGACGGAAACATGTCGGTACAGATCGGAAACCGATAACAAATACGGAAACATTAAACTATAAAAACATATATTTAACTTTACATAAGTATGTTATATATATACATAAATTCAAGCTTATACTATATAAATTATAAATTAACTTCATTTTAGCCATGTACAAAAGTTAGAGATTTTATTGAAGAGTCATTCAATCTATAAGCTGTGGGTCAAGTATAGACATGTCCTATAATATCGACATATTTAGAATACGGTAATTACCATATTATAAGAAACGGTAATTTCCGCGAGAATACGGTAAATACGGAAATGATCGGTATAACAGCAAAACCATTTCCGTTTTCATTTTCATATTTTTTATCATTTCCATTTTTGTTTCGGTTGATTACCATTT